TGAGGAGTCGGACAGTTGCTCTTTCTGTGGCGCTGCAGGGCAAGGCCGTCGGTGCTGATAAGGAGACCATCCGACAAGGGACTGGAGATGTGGACGATGCCTTTGATAGTGCGATTGATTCGTATGAATCCCGGCTGTGAACAAGCTGAATGCCGCCCGTGGCAGGTCGGAGATGCCCCTGAGGCATCGATCAGGCGTCCGGAACTTCTGTTCAGAAATAGCTATCATCAATGGGAAAGATTTTGACGTATCTGATTATTTTCTTATGTTAGGAAAAAAGCGCCTCATAGTCAATGAAGTCCACATCTAGCACGTCTTGCCTTGAGAGGGTAATAGATGTGATCTATCAGTTCCGCGCATCCATGTTAGTACACACTCGGTATTAGACTGGTTAGTACGGCGTCTCAATGGAGTTTTTTGTCTCTTTTTGAATGAACCGAAGGGCGGCGCTTATCAGCTAGACTAGATCCTGTGTTGTTGACTACGGATGTGCCGGGCTCCGTGTGGCCCAATGATGAGCTCAATATGGGTCTACAACACCTACCTAATGCAAACCAATGCAATGGCTACAGCTGAGTTGCCAATGGTTGAAGGAGTTGAAATTGATCGCGACACCATCTCCGTCCTTGGCGATGCAGGGGTCAAGAGGGGAATCGGTCGAGCCGAGGTGCCTCTCCCCGACGCGAGCGGGGTTGGAACATAGTACAAAGTCGCGCAGCTGAGACAACAATCCCAATCCTCAATGTGCCATATTTTACTTCTTCGAACGCGTTATATGATCACCGCTCACTTCCATCATGCCCTCCAACTACACTCAGCATGTCGGAAATCATGATTTTACTCGTGCCACCGTCGTGATTATCGGAGCCGGCGTATCAGGTAAAACATGAACCCCATGCTTGTGACCTGGGGAATTGTGAACTCTGTAGCTAACAGACTCCAGGGATGTGCATGGCTATTGACCTCCTTCATCGAACCCCCATCCGAAAATTCGTCATACTCGAGCAGGGAAGCTCGGTCGGTGGAACCTGGGCCAACAATCTCTACCCGGGCTGTGCATCCGACGGTAAGAAGCGACCGGTCCAACATGATTGTTGGCATGAATAACCAAGAGTCGTGTAGTCTGTAGCTCTTTGTACAGCTATTCATTCGAGCAACGTCCCGACTGGGCAGCAGAGTATCCGGGTCAGGAAGAGTTTCTGGTAATCTTGTCCTCCATTCTGGAAATATGAGAGGCTGACGCATCCGCAGACATATATGACAGATGTCGCGCAGAAACACGGCCTCTACAAATACATCCGTTTCAACTCAACTGTACAAGAAGCCCGTTGGGACGACAAGCAACAGCAATGGAAGGTTAAGGTGGCCCTGAACAGCGCTAAGGCTAGCGAATTCCACGAGCAATATGAACTCACCACCAACTTTCTCGTATCAGCCGTCGGTCAACTAAATGTGCCCAGCTATCCCTCCATTTCAGGCCTGGATGACTATACTGGCAAGTTAATTCACTCCGCCAGATGGGACTGGACCTACGACTTCTCTGGCAAGCGGATTGGCGTGATTGGAAACGGTATCTACTTCATACCCAGTGAAATACTCTGACATCAAAGGCTGACGGCAATGATAGGCGCCTCGGCAATCCAAATCGTCCCCGAACTAGCCAAAACTGCCTCTCATATCACCATCTACCAGCGCAGTCCGAAATGGCTCCTCCCTCGCTCTAACAAGAAAATCGGCGCTATCCAGCATTTCTTGCTATCTTATGTACCGCCCTTGCGCTGGTGCAAGCGAATTCTGCAGATGCGTTACCGAGAATGGTTATACAACGTCCTTGTCACCCCCGGCACAGTCCCAGCCCGCCAATTTGAGGCGCAATCACAGGAATGGATGAAAAGCCAGTTGCCCGATAAGCCTGAATTGTGGGACACTCTGACCCCAAACTATGCCATTGGATGCAAGCGCGTTCTCATCTCCGATGACTTCTATGCTGCCTTGAACGCGAGTCACGTCGATCTCAATACCCGACCGATTCAACGCATCACAGCCACGGGGGTGCAAACAGACGATGACGAGCAGGAATACGACCTCATTGTACTGGCCACTGGCTTCCGTGCTTCGGAATTCCTGCACCCGATCCGGGTGTACGGTGCTGGTGGCCGATCTCTGGAAGATATCTGGAAGGACGGACCCAGAGCATACTATGGTATGACGGTCGAGGATGTGCCGAATTTCGGCATGCTCTATGGGCCCAACACGAACTTGGGTGTGTTCATCTTTCCATCCGAAATTATTAGAGTGCATACACTGACAGGAATAGGCCACAACTCCGTTATCACAATGATCGAAGCTCAATCAAGATACCTAAGCACAATGATCCGGGCCGTAGCGGACGCAAAGAAGAAGGACCAAACATTGGTCATCCAACCCAGGCCAGAAGTGCTGCGAGAATACAACGAGCGGGTCCAGAAACACTTGGCTGAAACCAGTTTCGCCGATCCTAATTGCCAAAGCTGGTACAAGACTGATGAGGGCCTGATCACGAATAACTGGCCATCCACAGTGGTGCGGTACCAGAAAGAGGTGTCTCAGGTGCGGTGGGCGGACTTCATTCTCAAGGGTAGTGGCTCTGCTGCGGTGGCGAAGAAGAAGGCGACTTATGTTGGTCGGGTTAAGGAAGAGGCGCTAGTTAGCAATGTTACGCTGTTCTTGGGAGTGGCCCTGGCGGCTGGGGGAGTTTATTGGCGTGCTACGAGCTGGTGGAAGTGGTAGGTTTGGAATATGCTGGTGTGTCGGACCGATTTGTCGTCGGATATGTTTTTAGTCGAGGTAATGAATTAGCATGTTTGATTGTCTGAGTAGGGAGGTGCCTCTCATAGACAAAGTAGGTGACGATGGCATTCTTTACGGCTCTGGAAAGACTGCCTGGACCTCGCGTGTTTGCCCCGGTGCCCACTGTGCGAGCGGCTTGCTGAGAATTTTATCTCTGAGGAGGGCATGAGATGCTGGGTCGAATAAGTACCCGGCGTGTTCGTCGGACGTGACATTGGGCTGGTCATGCATGGAGACTATAATTATCAACAGAGTGGACGCTGTCCGAGGCATGTCTATCAGCAGTACGCGGTGTCGAGGGCTTTGAATAATATCCATTTGTGGGGTGGCTTTTAAGATCCGTACCACAAGTTCCCCGAGTAAAAGTCTAATGAGTGGAACGCCTTCCAGAAAATGGAAGGTATAATGGGAGTTGAAATGGAACTCGTAGTGCCCTCAATGTGTCTGTGAAATGATGTTCTCTCAGATTCACCTTGTCGATATTATCTTTCTAGGGCCCGCCAGATTGACTCATGACCTGACTATGCATCATTTACAGCTGGATGCGATGAGGCAGCTGATCGCGGCATTGCATGATACCATATCTTCACAAGCCCCATTGTGGGACAAAGAACTCAAGGGATTTTGAATGTGGAGTTTACAGTGCAAAGTCTACCTGACTGGTAATCATCAAGCTGATGAATATACCATTATTGGACGTAACCAGAACGATAGCCTTACTCGTACTGCTGAGTACAGGAAGGGTTCATCAACTTGTGAGAGCCAGTGGAACCAGAGCACATCAGGGGTGAAGTATTTGGAATGCATGGAGTGATTATGAACCCAGCATAGACTGAGAGCGTATTCAGGGCGCAGTGGTAGCACGACTCAAGAATCAAAAAGTAATTGAATGAAATTGTTCAGGGACCACTAGACAGGGATAAACAGTAACGCGGACAGTGCATTCTTTTATTGACGGATTATGAATGATTGTGATAGCAAGAATTCTCCTATTGCCGTAAAAGCTCTGTAGTATCATGTCATGTTCATCAAGGGAGACAAGTGCGGAGTTCAAGGTTTCGTTCACATGGTTATTAGAGCTCTGCCAGATATGGTTCCATTGTTCATTGACCTCTGATACTGGACTTATGGGTGCAACGAAATCAATATCGAGAGTTGGATTTGGCTTCATAGATTCAAGAGATCAGTTTATGATACAGATGGGTCTGGCTTCAAGTAGAGATGCAACAAAAATCAACAGTGAGAGGGTCGTAACCGAAGATGGTATGTGGACATCCCTTCCACAGTCGATGTTCATTAAGTGGGTCAAGTCACCGAAGAATGTTGACAAGGTGACTAACGGTGGCATAACCTTTTGAGCTTTTATTATTGCCTGTTGAGACTGATATTAGTTGCAGCGCAAACCCACATACGTAGCAAGTACCAGATCACAGCCACTAGTAACACGCCTCTGATGGATAGTTAGGTTGACATGTCTATTACAACACACCAATATCCCTCAAATGGCGGTATGACTGCGATAAGGATGTGGCTTCCCATAAGCAAGGGGCCATGCAACCATGTCCATACTTAGATGGAGGTTCACGTGAGCATAACAAAAAGCACATTCGTCTGACAATTGAATATCTTTTATCATTTCCTCCCCCTCATATCCGACAGCAACTGCTAGTGGACCATCCATCTGTACAACGCGTGTCACCCATGGCAGTTCATGTACCATTCAGCATCCACCACGTCGTGGATATCGGCATTTCCACCGGCCCGGTAGTCATTGTCCTCGTTCTCCTATTCGGGTTGGCTGTCGTGGGATCCGACAGCCTTGATGGATGGTGGCAGAAAAGAGCCTTGAGAGGCATTCCGATTGTAGACGAGGGTAGCTACATGCGGCCAAAGCTACGATGGAAGCGCTTCGATGCGGAGAAAGAGTATGCGAGAGCATATCAGCAGGTGAGTGCCGCCTTACATGTTAACAGCTGCTGTTTTGCTGCTCACCATAATTCACCCGGATTAGTACACAAAAGCAGGGAAACCTTATGCGATCCGGATGCAGAATGATAATTATGGCATTGTGCTTCCCTTAAACTCAGCAAAGGAATGGAGGTCTCTACCACACGACCAGCTGAGCTTTCTTCAAGCCTTGGCAGAGGTAACACCCGTCATAACTTTACACCATGCACAAGTCAGCGGCCTTATCGCTAAGAGACGCACAGTTTGCGGATATGAACATGTACTGCGACGTCACGGACAGGACACCCATTGAAGCTGTTCATAGTTGCAACAACGCTGAATCATTAAGTACGAAGTCACACGGGAAACGAGTGATGTAACAAGCTAATCCTTTGTGATATTGCGCAGACATCCTCAATAAGCTTCTCGCCCGGGAAACCGATACAGCCTTATCTCAGATTTTCGAGCAGCCTACAGGAAAAGGTGAGCAGGAGAAGAACAACGGTCGAAAGCCAAAGTTCCCTTGCTTACAACACCAGCAGACTGGAAGGAATTGAACACACTGCAGACAATCCTCTCCTTATGCTCAACGGTTACTATGGCCTTGCTCCTCGGACCAGATACAGCCCCTGACCCGGTGCTCCACCACCATTCGACGTCTTTTGGCGAAGCAATTATGAGCAGTTGTTATCGACGAACGGGATATCCGCGCATCCTGCGGCCATTCGTGTGGCGCTTTTCGTCCGAATGCCGAAATCTGAGGAAACACTTCTCTCTCGTGAGAGAGAGACTTGTTCCTGAGGTTGCGCGCCGTGTCGCAGCTGCACGAGCGGCGGATAAAACCAAGGACGTACGCCCATCTTCATTGTTGGACGCACTGATCGCGGCGGCCTTCGACAACGGCAGCTTAAGCCCAGATGACCAAGGCAGAAATGATGCAGCACAGGTACAGTTGCTGGCAGATGATCTCATCTTCTACCATTTCGAACTCTGTAAACCGACCGCATTCAACATCATCTTCCAGCTGTATGCCATCATGGACCACCCAGAGTACAAGGCTCCTCTCCGAGAGGAGGCACTCCAAGCCTTGAAGCTCACCAATGGTGACTGGACCGTTGAAACTCTGAAGCACGCTCCCAAGTTAGAAAGCTTTACAAAGGAGACCTTTCGACTGTACGATATCTCCGGTTGTCAGTTCTCCCTCTCTGTCCCAAGACAAAAATAAAATACCCCCAATTGACATGAAATAGTTGTCAGCTTTCGCCGTGTCATGAAACCTCTTACTCTAAACTCCATCGGCCTGTCTCTTCGTCCCGGTACAATCTTATTGTCTCCATGTCGGAATGTCCATTTGGATCCCGAGATCTATGAAGACCCGACTACTTTCAATGGCTACCGCTTCTACGACTCCAGCCGCGAGGTCTGCTCTCCACGCGTGGCAACCACCTCGCTCACGTTCTTGACATTTTCTCATGGAGCGGGCAGCTGTCCCGCGCGGGTTCTCGCTACTCAAATTTGTCGGACGATCTTCATCAAGTTCCTGTTGCAGTACGACGTAGAACCTGTGCAGAAGGAGATACTACCCTATGGATTCACCAGTGGTCCGGTCTATATGCCTAATCCATCAGTGATGATGAGAATCCGGCCAAGAAGTGACGGGAAGTAGTGATACTCCTTGATGGTTCCTCGCCATCGAAACCGTGATTTTATGTGTTGGGTAAATTAATTGTTCGTGTTTAGCATGGGATCCATGTTGTATGGTAATTGTGGTCAAAATCCAAGAAGAGCGAAATGAGTGGAAGCATATATCTGCCATGTAGTACTAGTATTATGCATTGCTCTGTTCACATAAACATGAGAGATGGAGTGAGTGACAGAAAACCAACGGAGAAAGGGCACCAGACACAGCCCGTTGTCAATTAGGAGTAGTCCTTCGTACCTCCACCATATATGCGTCTATGATGACATGATAAAGTCAAACACAGGGCCGCACCCAAACCACCTATTTTATGCTGCATATTCGTGTCTGGACGAAGAAAGGAGAGAGCCGAAGATAGAAAGCTAAGCGCAGAACTACTATATAACCTTACAACCCACATGTCTCGTTCTGCCTTTACCAAGACGCAGTGAGATACTCCTTCAGTTCTCGAATTGTAGGAGACTCGAGGAAGAAAGAGCTCTGAATGTTAACCTGCAGCTCGGTCGCGAACTTCTCCACTAGGACAAGGGACAGAAGGGAATCTATACCCAGCGCAGAAACTTCCGTCTCATCGGTCAGACCGTCCGGCTCAACCCCGGTCTCGGCGGCGAGGAGAGCCAGTGCGCCACGGACGAGCTTGGTGTTCGCCTTCTCCACAGATGGTGCGACTGGCAGATCAACTTCCGGGGTGAGCGGGCCGGTATTTGGATCCTTTGGGTCATCATCCGGGCCTGAATCTGTTGTTGGACTGGGTTGGTGCTGTACTTGCGGCAGGTCATGGGGCTGGATGTGTTGAGTTGCCAGGCCATCACCATCGTCCGGGGGGTCGAAGAAGCGATTCATCAATATACGAGGTAGCGGACGCAGTGTCATCCCACGGACCTTTCCGACAATGTGGTCTTCACGCATAACGTAGACGTCGCCGACGAAGAAACCCGAACCATCGCGGGCCGGATTCATTTTGACATAGGATCGATAGAGCTCGCCCGCGACGAGTTCCTCGGCGAACCGCATTGACTTCCATCCTTCCATTACATAGATGGTATTATGATGGTCCGTGGCATGGCCGGCGTTGAGCACGAGACCCCCAACATGGGTAATTGGGTCGATGTGGTGGGGAGGCGCCGTCCAGCGGCTATCATTGCTAGGCGCAAGAATCACATCAGCCACAGCTTCCAAGCCGTGCAGCACCGCCGACTGGATGCCACGATAGTGGTCTGCGTAGTCGACGATATTCTTGAAGAGCGTGTACACCAGATCCCGCGATACCCGACTTGCTTGTCCGTTCTCCGCCATCTGCTGTAGGGTGACGATCCGGGTGGTCAGCAAGTGGGCATAATCAGCCCATTCATCCTGCCAGCTCTGTCTGTCGCCGCATCTCACGACACCGCTGGCCAGCTTCTCCTCAACATGTCGTGAGCTTTCATCCGACAGACCAGATATAGACAACTGCAGCGCTGCACACTGGGGATCCGCCCGCATGCGCATCCGAACCCATTGGGGTTTGGACCGATCTTTTCGTGGAAGCAGTCCTTGTAACACCCTTACTTGACCAAAATCCATGGCCGGAAGTGGTGATTCGGGTTTAAGGCGGGAGTACATATATCTTGCTAATGTGAAAGCTATGTCGGGATAGGAAAACTGCAGCAAAGAAGTCAGTCTGGCACAAAGCTCGTCAGATTTATCGACTCACCACTGAAACGAGCGGCCGCCCACTCATCTTGTGCCCTGACGCAACGGCGAAAAATTCCTTGTCCATGACGTCGGACTGTACCACGATCTCTCCACCATCAGGCCTGAATGACTCCTCCATAATCTGATGCACCAAGGCAGTGCGCAAGGATGGTGTTGCAGCAGAGATTTGGTCTGTTCTAGGCCGTTTATCCTTGACCAACAGCCAGTCCCCGTTGTATTGGATCCAGTGATTCTTCAGGTCCCACCGATAGGATGGCAAGTCTAGCAGGCGGACCTCAGGCTCGAAGGGTCGATACCACTCGTTCCAGTCCAATGGAACTCCTGTCTCCTGAAGAGTGCACATGCTAACGGCCAATGTATGCCAGTTAGTCTCATCTGAACGCAGGCTCGGCACAATGGCTTGGAGATCTGCTACAGTGGCGCGCACGGCGCCTGAGTAGGTCGAATGGACTCCAATCTCCACCCAGACAGTATGGGAATTGACCAGGCCCATATCTTGCGCTTTTGCAACGGCCTCCGCAAACCGGGCGGGCGCCCGCGTGTTCTCCCGCAGGAACAGACTGGCGACCAAGCTCCTACTTTGTACAGCCGCATCGGCCAAAGTGGATGAAATGAGTGGGATCTGAAGGCTCCGGAAGGAGACAGCCTTGGCGATCTCCTCGTATCGATCTAGGATGGGGTCCATCTGAGAGGAGTGAAATGCAAATGGGACATTCAACTTGACACTGCGATACCCTTGGGACACTAGCGATTGTTGTATATCTACAATATCCTTGATCGACGCACATATTGTGATACTTCGGGGCGCATTAATACAAGCGACTTCGTATGTGCGGTCTTGAACGCAGCGGCGAATATCGTCGACGCTTCCCTGTACAGCTAGCATTCCATAGCTATTAGCGGTGCACAGCTTCTGCATAAGCAGAGTACGCTGCCCAACTAAGAAAATAGCGTCGCTGGCGGACAGCGCTCCTGCAGCATACAGAGCGGCGTACTCGCCCAGACTTGCGCCGATAACCACGGCAGGCTTCACCCCGAGCGTCCTCCAGAGACGACAGAGGGCGATCTGGACGCAGACCGTAGTAAGCTGGGTCACCAGCGCACTTAATTGGGAGACATCCGCATCTGTATCTGTGATAGCCGGAAGTATCGAGCCAAACCCATTCTGCTGGCAAATCTCATCCAGGCGCTGGAGTTGCTCCCGATACGGAGGATACTCCTTGAAGAGCTGCGAGCCCACTCCAGCGTAGAAGCTTCCTTGGCCGGAGAAGATAAAAGCGACAGAGGGCGGCTTACTCACCAATAGTCCAAGCTCTGCACGAGAGCCACGCTGATGCAGCGCTTGGATGATCTCTGCTACCGAGGCGCCATGGACCGCGATGCGGTGTTTGTGATGCATGCGGCGGGCGGTGGTAGTATATGCGAGACTCGCCAATCGTGCGGATCGGTTTCCCTCCAGCCATGTTATCAGGCTTTCGAGATTCCGTCGCAGGGAAGTCGTGCTCTTCGCGGATAGAGCCACGACGAATCGTGTCTGTGGAGGCCCCTGAGGATCTGGCCGTACAGGCGGCTCTTCCAGCAGCAAACTGGTATTTCCTCCCGCCGCGCTGAAGTTGTTGATCATAACGTATCGTTTTCTGTTCGACCGATACGGCCAAGGGATGGTTTCCTTGGGGATATGGACGTTTAGTCGTTCAAGGTCCGGAAATTTCGAGTTCAACGCTGTTTTTATGCCCACGTGGCGGGGAATCGCATTATGTTGGAATATTAGGAGCGCTTTCATGAGCGCTGTAATGCCAGCCGCAGCCTCTCCATGTCCCAGATTGGCTTTGACGGAGGAAATGTACAGCGGATGTGACCGTCGAGGCACTGGGGGACTGAAGACGCGGGTGACGGATTCAATTTCCGCCGCATCCCCAGCCTGTGTGCCTGTGCCGTGCATCTCGACCAGATCCACATCGTGAGGCCCAATGCCAGCCTGAGAAAGAACAGAACGATAAAGGTGTTCCTGGGTAGGCGCGTGAGGGTGAGTTATAGAGATAGCGTGTGATGAATGGTTGGTAGCTGTCCCAAGGATCACGCCTAAGATGTTATCATTGTCTTGTTGTGCATCACTTAGACGCTTGAGGACAATAGAACCAATTCCATCTGCTCGGCAATACCCATCGGCACCGTCATCAAACACCTTACAGTTTCCGGTCTTCGAAAGAAAGAAGCCCCGGCTGAGACCAGCAAAACTATCAGAGCCTGTTAGGATGTTTAATCCCCCGGCCACGACCATGTCAGCCTCCCCGCGGATTAGGGCGCTACAGGCAATCTGGACCGCAGCTAAACTGGCGGAGCAAGCTGTATCACAATTGAAGCTAGGACCGGAGAATTTAAAAAAGTAACTGATTCGGCCGGGGGCAAACGCCCGATAGTTCCCTGGTATAAAATACATGTCGATGTTCTGGCCAGCATTTGCTTCGCGATAGTCGTCGGAGCACTGGCCGTAGACCGTCCCTACTCGGTCTCTGGTGGTTGATCTGGTGCGATTAGGCACATATCCAGAATACTCTAAGGCTTCATATGCAGTAAGCAGTGCCAGACGGTGGGTAGGATCTGTTTGTCCTGCTTCGCGGGGAGACATGTCAAAGAAGCTAGCATCAAATAGCCCGGGGCTGTCAATAAAGCATCCGAACGGGGTGTGGCTAGTGTTCAGTCGTCTCCCGGTCATGTCCGTGTGACTCTCAACGTCATATCGGTTGCCTGGGACCTTCTGGTGTACATCCCGTCCGTCCTCAAGGAGCTCCCAGAACCGCTGCAGATCATCCGACCCCCCGGGCAACCGGCAAGACATTCCTACCACAGCGATCCTGGAGTCGATGGGGATTGTTGGTGGCTCAAGGCTATTGTCAATTATCCAGTCGCCAAGATCATCTACACTGACTGTGCAATCTGGGTATTCGGACTGTACTGCAGATATCAAGCCATGCACAGCAGGTGAGGATGGCCTGAAAGTCTCGAGCTGCAGCTTCGTATCTTGTTTCCAGTGGGGAAGCTTTTTGACAGCGGCAAGAACGCTATCCCAGCGGATTATGCTTGTCAGAAGCACATATGTGGCCGACTCGAAGAGATCTCGTGCATTCTCGCCCGCCAACGGCTGACCATCGCCCATTGACAGCACAAGAGGGTGCCCCGAGAGACGACGACTAGCAATTTCAGGATTGACTTTGCTTACTACCCATTCGGTGTGTGTTCGGTCGTACAAGTGAGCTGCATGGCAGGGGCCCCCATAGACGGGCAGGGGCGCACGCGGAGCTGACTGAACCTTTCCAGATTTATTAAAGAACTCGCGTAGTCCCGATGGCGGACCGCTGATGAATACGCTGCCGTCGGGCTCCACAACACTGATGTATATTCTGCTTGATGGCGGTGTCTCCTGTGTTGCGATTCAGGTCAGATTCCGGTCCGTGCAATTGCATTTTATATCAGTTAGCCTACCATAGATTTGTTGAATTTTTCCAGCTCTCCTCGCACTATACTCTCGTCCAAACCTCTCACAACGGTAGTCCAACTCTCCAAGGAACTGTCGAGTGACAGTTGCTCCAAATCCTGGGATTTCTGATACAGCAAGATACCGGCTCTCATGGCGATCCTGACTACCTCCGCTGCCGTAATGGGCAAGTCCAACAACGAGGGGGACGCAACGACTGCAGTGGCGGCCAAAAAGCCCAACCCCAGCCCAGTAAAGAGTGATTCCTGTGTATTGAAGCTGAACTCATGAGGTCGAATCTCGTAGTTCCTACCCAAAGTCAGTCGACGCCTTAGTGGTTGCCTAGTTGGGGCGGGAGAGAGCTCACCCGACGAAGAGACCTAGTTGAACCAGACACAAAAAGATGCATTCGAAAATCCCACACAGAGGTCCTTTGTGCCAGTGGTAATTTTGAGCGAGGTCGAGTATAGACTAAAAGGGAGGAATAAGGCTTCTCAGTTCCGGAGGAAGACGGTAGATTTCCTCTCTAACGACCCGGGTTGCCTCCTCAAGAAACCGGCGCAATACAACATGCCTGGGCGATTGAGAACACAGCCGCAGGCGCCGGAACAGATCTGGCAAATCATCGATGGGAAATTTGTTACTAAAGAAGAAGAGCCTCATTGTGTTTGTTACGGGGAGCCTGCGAGGTTGACGGACTTCAATTGTCCTCACAGCGGGTGTTGGTCAATATATTGCCTCGAGGTATCTCTGTACATACCAGCGAGCTTACTCTTCAATCTCGACATTCACCGAAAGCAATCAAAAGACGCCAACACCACGCCCAGACAGTTTCATTACAAATATTCTTCATGCTAGGAGTGTCTCGGCACGACCACCTGACTGAATGCATCTGAATAGGCGGTTACATTGACCTTCTGGTACGCTTACATTGCAGCCTTGTAGACACCCACGCACATATCCGCAAGCATGGGAGCTGTAGTTTGCGTGACCATCAAGTACATTTAAGTAAAATACAGTTCAAACTCTGTTAAGTCCATTTTACCTCGCCGTTGGTGGCGCAAGCCTCTCCTCGCTCAGCAGCAATGTAAGGCAAGAAAAGGCTACAAGGGGCAATTAGAACCGGTGTATAATAGAGCCGCAAAGGTGCAGCAGGTAATGTGGCTTCCTTAAGTGGACATCGGCCTTTGTTGAAGGCGTATCCTGTATTGTCCTTTGTGCATTATCATCTGTACTTGTTAGAGATGATTGACAATACCCCCTTTTGGATGACTATTGTGATCTGTCATATGCTGTACCGCTTGCCTAGAGTTTTCGGCGCGGACCTTGAGACGATGCATATGTAACGAACCCAATGTGGAAAAAATTCTGCATCAGTTCACCCCTTGAGTCCACAGTGGCTTCGACACAGGCCTATCAAACCATGCACATACAACTACCTATATCACCACTATTATAGGTGTGTGTATTGTATTATCCCTGGAGTCAGCGGTGAGGGTATCTCCTCATCCATCTGGCAAGGGGGTGTAATGGCACCTTAAGTTACGCATCTTCGGAAACTCCGTCGTGCACCACCTAGTTACTGTTGCCTTATCATGCTTATGCACGAAAAAGTGGTCGTACGAGCTGGACGGACATGGACGGACATGGACAAAGGATAGAAATACTCTCCAGAAATCCCTCCATAACATGTAGGCAACCACTTCATATCCAGATATCTCTATCTCAAGGCTCGAAGTCATTTCCAAACACGTGTGCTTCTCAGGAACAACGTTACCACACCATGACCTACCCAGAAGAAATCGATGAATATTCCTTGATCCAGAATGGCTTGAAAAGCCTCAACGAGGCTGCACAACGATGCCAGCAGACTAAACACAGCAGTCAGGATAGTAGCATAGAAGGCTGCAGTGCCAGACAAAGCGCACGCGATGAGCTGGTTCTCGAAGCGCTCAAATTCCTCCAGATCGCGCAGGGTCCTATTGATGCCGCTGCTACCTGTTACGAAAGGGTTCGATATACTCATGCACAAAAGGCCCCAGGTGAAGAAAGAGTTGCTAATTAGGATAATAGACGGCCCATCTCGCGAGCGTCCGCGCGTTGCTGGAGATGGGGGTATTTGAAGCGCTTCCCACCGGGCGAGTATCTCGCAGGACGGAAGAGTTGGCGCGGGAACTCAATGTCGACGAATCCCTTCTTGGTCAGTGCAGACGTGCCAATTTGTGCCGTGACATTCATGCTCTAACATAAACGCAGCTCGTCTGCTAAGGAATTCGTCGCTGTACGGACCATTCGAAGAGACTGGGCCGGGCCAATACCGGCACACTCCATTTTCCGAGGCGTATTTGCGCCCCGAGATTCGCGGCATGTTTCGATTTGCGTGAGAGCTCCACCCTATCAACTATCAAGGATCATGATTAACTGAGAAACCAACAGGATGGACGACCATATGCCCGCGCACCTTAAGCTGCATGAATTTCTCCAACGTAACGGCTGGCAAGAACCTTCATCTACTACAGATAATCCATACACTTATGCCCACAAGACGAACGGAAAGAGCATGTTCGACAACCTCTCCGAGAAGCCGGAGCGCATGAAGGCATTCAATAACGGGATGACAGTGCAGGCGATGACCCCCCTATGGATGATTGATCTGTTCCCGTGGAGAAGTCTGGCCCAGTTGAAGCCCACCGCGGGCCAGGTTCTCGCGGTTGATATCGGCGGCGGTAAGGGCAAGGCCATCAGCCGGATCCGGTCTTTCTGTAATGGTTTGCCTGGCCGTTATATCCTACAAGATCAAGAACATGTTGTCAAGAGTGTCGAGGGCTCACTGGATCCCTCGATTGAGAGGATGGCCTATAATTTCTTTACCGAGCAGCCTATTCGAGGTAAGCTGCTGGATAAGACTATATTTGTTCGTGTAGCTTATAACATTCTTTCTAGGCGCTGTAACATACCTCATACGTCGTTGCCTTCACAACTGGCCCCAGGATAGCGTGGTTTGTATTTTGCAGAATATTGCTGCGGCCATGGAGCCAGGGAAGTCACGGCTTCTAATTGAGGAGATTGTCGTACCGGCAGAGAAAGCCGGTGTTGAGGAAGGATGGATGGATATGATCATGATGTCTTTGGGTGCTAAACAGAGGACTTTGAAGGAGTGGGAAATGGTACTCGGTTTGGCTGGGCTGGAAGTCAAGAAAGTGTATCAGATTCCGGGGAATTGCCATGGGCTCATTGAGGCCTGGCTGAAGTGATTTCATTATCTTATGTACCTGAGCCTTCCGAACTTTCATCTTGGAAAAAGCACAGCAAATGTGTCATTTGGGTAGTCCCCAGAGACAGCCAATCTATATACTTTGAAATTATCTGCCTATCAGCTGAGAAAATTACCATCCGCTTCTCCTTGTGGTGAGATCTTAAAGGCTGTCGACCTACGGCCGAGCGAGAGCACCTCTCTGTTTTACATTACATACACATGTGATGGCGCCAGAAGACTCGACAACTTTTAGCATTCAGCTCGGTAACCTATGTTAAAATTATGAGAAACAAAAGGAAAGGAAAAGGACTGGTTAAACTATCCACCGAAAGCTACTGCGAATACCCAAGGTCATGGCTTCCGAGCAGTTGCAATGATCGCTTCAGCCTTCATCGCGCCAAGTCCGATCCCCCTCTGCTCCTCTTCCAGGATGCGGAGCACCGCCTTTGGAACCTCTGCTTCGTAACTATCTCGTTGCTCCTGCGTCCAGAACTTTCTGGTGATGTGAGGGAGACTTATCTTGCAGGCCTCGGCGAGCTCCTGAACCGGCACAGTGTATTCCTTTTTCACGGAGGTAACATTAATATCCGTAAATCCTGCCTGCTGAAACTGAGCCCGCACCCTGGATTCGTCGGCCCAATTTTTATTGTACAGCCCGAATATGTCTTCCGTGGTCGGGGTTGGGAGATCACCTGGTATGCTTGCGATGGCGGACTGGATGAGGGTGGCCCAGACGGCTGACAGATGGTGTGTTAGACATGTTTAGTAATTCTACTACAGTGAACGTACTTGAGCACCACGTGGAAACGGCCAACGTGCCTCCGCTTTGAAGCACTCTAAAACACTCTATTGTACCGAAGGTTAGCTGGCTTCGTTGATGTAATATCGCCATACTGTAAGCAACCAACCTTCCATTGCAGCTTTGTCGTCAGGGAAGAGGTTGAACGCTGATATGGAAGTCAACATTATCCCATTTCCCTGGGTCCCTAACATCTTACCAAAAGCCGAGAAGACATGCGTATAATGATCACTCAGAAGCCCAGTGTTCTGAGCATCAACAACCTCTACCTCCGCATTCTGCCATCCTTCTTCGATCATCTTCTGCTTGGAGACCTCGACCATGGCTTCAGATACATCGCCGCAGGTCAACTTCCAGGTGCGTGTTTTCTCATCGCCAAGGGCACGATGAAGGGCACTAGAAATTGCTCCTGTCCCGCAGGCATTGTCAAAGACAACTAGATCTTTCCGGCCGAACCCCGCTATGGCAGACCTTTCCACCAATTCCTCGGCAAACAGAGTGCTGATTTTACTGCCACTCTTGTATCTGCTAGCAGAGTCACGGTTGTGCTTTTCTGGTGCAGCTGGGGTACGAGTCATGTTGGCAGATTTGAATGAAATTGTGAGTGCTGTGCTCAGCGTGTGAGGTAGACATACTGGGAGAATATCGAAGCTTTTTAAATTGCGATATGAAGTGTTGCTCAAATATCCGTTAAACTTCTGGGAATATGACCGCATAGCAGGGAGAGTAGCGGTCAGCCCGTGCTTACTTGGAAAGTAGAAGCGCGTAAGAAAGGCAACCTACAAGTGCTCTGGGCGTTGGCGTCTCCCTATCCTTGTCTCTAAAGTTAAGACGAAGCAACACACATGTCCTTTTGGACGTCACAAGCTCCCTGTCATTGTCCCTAGAGTATGTGATACCTTGCAGATCAGCTAACTGTACATAGCTATGGTAGACCACAATTTCATAATTCTTTCCTGTTGGAGATTCCTGAACAACTGACAGAAGGACGGCTCTGAAGGTCTCCTGTCTCACCGACCAATCTAGATCTAGATCTGTCTCAGCCCACTGCGACCTTATCTATTCACTTGTCATGCATTGTAACATATACCCTTGCCTTATGTGGGGATGCGAAGATCGAGCAGGAGTGCCATCTCATACAGCCTACATGCTAGTCTAGCCAAGGACTTAAGCCATATAATCACGAGTTAAATTGGAATGTTATTGAGGGCGCAGGGGGGCAAATTCAAACGCCATGTTTCATGTCCTAGTTTCTTGCCATCAAGGTCATTTTTCTAAGCCTACTGTCAATCCAACTCAAATACTATATGGTTTTAATTCATAAGTAAGCGTTAGTTTAGACTAGCTTGTATACCTGCTGTTCAAGTGCAAATAAAAGCGCACAAGTTAATTATTCTCTCATTTGAAATCCTTCTTTTTACGGGATCCTATATTTTTAAGAATAGATTTGCGATAGATTCTGCTGCTATAAAAGGACGCCAGAATTCGAGTATGCTATCTGTAATAGGTTTGAAATCCTGGGAGGCGCTACC